ATTTTTTAACCCAGTTATTTGTTTTCTTATTGTTGAGTTTTAAGTGTTTATTGTATATTTTGAATAACAGTTCTTCATCAGATGTGTCTTTTGCCAACATTATCTCCCAGTTTATGATTTATATTATCATTCTCATGACAGTGTCTTTTGCAGAACAGAAGTTTTTAATTTTAATGAGGTCCAGCTTATCAATTATTTCTTCTATGGATTGTGCCTTTGATGTTACATCTAAAAAGGTATCACCATATTCGTGGTCATCTAGTCATTCTCCTATGTTATCTTCTAAAAGTTTTATGGTTTTTCATTTTGTATTTAGGTCTATGATCCACTAACTCCAACTCTAACTCTAACCCTTAAAAAAGCCACTAGTTATGTACAAGGGTACCCCTATAAGACTATCGGCTGATTTTTCAGCAGAAATGTTGCAGGCCAGAAGGGACTGGCATGATATATTCAAAGTGCTAAAAGGAAAAAACTTACAACCAAAAATACTCAATATTATTATTCATAATTGAAGGAGAGAGAAAGAATTTCTCAGACAAGCAAAAGCTAAAGGAGTTTACTCCTACTAAACTGGCCTTACAAGAAATGTTAAAGGGACTTCTTAAAATGCAAAAGAAAAGCCACAACTAGAAAGAAGAAAATTATGAAAGAAAAATCTCACTGGTAAAAGCAAACATAGAGTAAATGTAGTGAATCAACCATTAAGAAAACTAGTACAAAGAATAAAAGACAAAAGTAGTAATCATCTATATCTATAATGAGTTAAGCAATACACAAAATAAAAATATGTAAAATATAATGTCAAAAAATAAAATTTGTATATGTATGCCTTTAGAATGCTCTGGAACTTAGGCAACCATCAACATAAAATACACTGCTATATATATAGTTTTTATATGAACTATATGAATCTACAAAACAGATGAACAAACCAAACAAAACAGAAACAGACTCATAGACACACAGAACATCCTTGATCACCAGAAAAGGGAGCAGTGAAGGAGATGGTGAGGTACAAACTTCCAGTTATAAATAAGTCACAAAAATGTAATGTACAAGGAGTGCAGTAATAATATGGTAAATAACTTTGTATGGTGACAGATGATTACTGGACTTACAATGGTGTTCAGTTCATAATGTATATAAATGTTGACTCACTGTGTAGTATCCCTGAAACTAATATAATATTGTCTGTCCAATAAAAAAAGAGAACTGTTATGCTTTCTTGGGGAAATGATCCCTTTATTACTACATAATGTCTGCTTACCTCTGCTAACTTTCCTAACTTTGAATTCTACTCTACAAATTAATAAAGCAATTCTGCTTTCTTTTGATTAGTGTTAGCACGGTATTATTTTTCTGTTTACTTTTAATCTATATGTGTCTTTATATTTAATGTGATTTTCTTAGAGACAACATACAGTTGAGTCCTGTTTTTTATCCACTCTGATAATCTCTGTCTTGTGATAAGTGTTTTCAGATTACTGACATTCAAAGTAATTATTGATTTAATTGGATTAATATCTACCATATTTGTCACTATTTTCAATTTGTTGCCACTATTCTTTGTTCCTATTTTTGTCTTCCACTCTTTTTTTGCCTTTTGTAGTTTTAATCAAGCATTTTATTTAATTCCATTTTCTTTCCTCAGAGAATATCAGTTATACTTCTTTTTAAATTTTTAAGTGGTTGCCATAGAGTTTGTAATATACATTTACAACAAATCCAAGTCCACTTTCAAAGAACACTATATCACTTTATAAACAGTGTTGAGTACCTTATAATAATAAAGCAGTCCTAATTTCTTTCTTCCCATATATCATTGCTGTTATTTACTTTACTTATATGTAAGCACCCATAAACATACACGTATATACACAAGATATATACATAAGGATAAATAATTGAATATATTCAATTGCTATTATTATTGTTTTGAACATACTGTTATCTGTTAGATCAGTTAAGAATAAAACAAATAAAAGTTTTTATTTTACATTCACTTATTCCTTCTTCTATTCTCTTTCTTATTTTATATACACCCAAGTTTCTGACCTATATTATGTTCTTTCTCTCAAAAGAACTTCTTTTAATATTTCTTGCAGAGCAGCAAGAAATACTGGTAACAAATTTGTCTGAGATAGTATTTCTTCTTCACTTTTGAAGGATAATTCCATAGGGTATGGAATTCTAGGTTGATGGGTTTTTTTTCTCTCGATACTTTAAAGTTTTTCATGCCACTCTTTTCTTGCTTGCATAGTTTCTGAGGAAAGGTCAGATGTAATGCTTAGTTGAAGATAAATCTCACAATATCTGGGTTCCCCTGGAGTTTTTAACTCTCAGAGTTGTCCACAATGAGCCTCCAGAAATTCAGTTACACTCCAGGTTTTCCAATCCTGGCACTGGTTCCCAAGGGGGTTTCTACTTGTGGGCCTGTTCTGGCCAGTGGTGAATTCCTGTATTCACCTGTCTGTCTCTCCAATCTTGGGGCCACAATTTGCCCTTTGCCTCCACCTCTCTTAGGGACCCAAGAAGAGTTGTTGATTTTTCAGCCTATTCAGTGTTGTTAGGACTTTCAAGCTCTTTACATGTGAAACCCCAGTTTTGTTTAAGCCATAAAATTTATCTTTTTGGTTAAGTTCATTTTATGCCTTGAAATCTATTAAAATAATGGATTAAATATAGACATAAAAGATTACTTATTGATGGTAAAATTGAGGCTTTCTGCTGGAATCATTTCTTGCAGTGCCACAAAGTTAAAAAAACAGGGCTTTGAATTTCAGTTCTGCCCCTGACAAGCTGTGTGATGAGATTCCAGGAAAGGTATGTAAACTGTCTAATCCCCCGTTTCTCCATCTGTAAATTAGGGATAATAATATATACCTTAAACCGTTATTCTGAGAATTAAATAAAAGAATATATACAAATTGCCAAATAGGACACAGCATAGTTTCTCAGTGTATTACTGTCATTAGTGTTGTTAGTTCCTAGCTGTAGTGTTCTAGAAAACAGCATGATTAGTCAACTGACTGAAAAAACATGGACTAATAGATAACAGATAGATGGCTTATGTTGGCCATGACTGTCCAAGGTGGCTGACTTAATTGGCTTTAATGCATACTATCTGGTGTTTTTCATGGTTAATATATGCTTAAAAGTAGATATAAATTTCTTTACATTAGTCAACTATAATTTGCCCATAGATTGCACATGTAGTAATATTTTGATATATTAACCGTGGGTTTTTTCCTCCCTCTGCTTCCGTGCACTAGTTACTTTCTTACGGTCATTTAAGTAATAGAACCTAGCAAACTACAGTCAGACAGATACTGCTGAGATGTAAGAAGTCATTCTCATCAGCTTTGAGCTTCATATTAGGCTTTTAAAACCCCCCACAGTAGAACAATATTCATGAAATCATAGCTTTCCTTTACAGAAGACTGGGCATTTGGAGAGAGAAAACATTTGCTGAACCTCAAAGCACTGGGAGCCTTGAAAGACTCATTTTATATTGGAAATCAAAGAGTGAGGAAGAATGCATGGATCCGATAACGGGCCACAAAGAGGTAAAATTTGACCCACAAACAGAAAGAGAGAATTACACAGAAACAGAAGAGGCCTTGTAGTTGGACAGGGAAGCTGACCGCATTGACTGGAGATACAGCATAGACAAAAGACAATGATCAAGACAAAGAAGAATGAATTACACCTCTGCAGAGGCCAGTAAGGTCAGAGAATGGCACTTGGACCAGGACCTTCCCCTGATGACAAAACAATATAAGTTCCCCAGGAACTTAGACCACTTTGAAGCAGAAAATGAGGAGAAGGAGGAGAATTCTGCACTGAGTAGTTACCCAAAAGAGACTGAGTTTAAGGCAAAAGTGTTATGTGACAAAAGCCATTAAGTAAAAGGGCTCATGTTCTAAGCTAGGTTCAGTTACAGACAAATTTTTAAAGTTAATTTTCTTTTTTCTTTTCCAGGGTGGGGGGAAGTAATTAGATTTTTTTTAATGGCGGTACAGGGGATTGAACCCAGGATCTCATGCATGCTAAGCAAGCACTCTACCACTGAGCTATACCCTCCCCCACCTAAAGTTAACTTTCTAACCTTAGAGTTTGTGACCATATTAAAACATCATATCCACTAACTACACCATCAGGCTTGAGGATACCTCACTTTAATTCTCTTAGTTAATCTAAAAGCTTCCATCATCTGAAATGATTCTTAAGATTACAGCAAAGAAGAGAAAAAAATTTCTCTTTCAAATAATTCTTTCAACTCTCACAACATTTCATATGGGTACATGTATTATTATCATGGGTATTTTAGAAAAGTATATTGAGAATTACTTTCTCAAATAGGGCATATTATCATAAGCAGATTAAACCTATTTTCTTTATCTTAATTTAAAAACAAACTTTGAAAAATATAACTCTGGGTTTTAGTTATTGTGTACAAATAGTTTGAAACCTATTATAAACTTAAAAAGAGTTTAGAAAACTAGAATTTTTCTTTTATAAGTTGTAAATGAAAGTATGAGGTATAACTATTAGAAGGGCCTTTTAAATATGCAAAATACATTTAAATATTTTTATATAATCCCCATTTGGCTCAGCCTTGTCTTCAGCTGAGCATAGTGAGTGTTCGCTACAATCTTCAGGTTTAACTGTTTTTATTCGTAACTACATTTCTGAATCAGGGACCAAAGCTGATGTGTTACAGTATAAACCATTTGAAGTGTTAGCCATCATAAACTATGCAAATTCACAACAGGACTGATAGTGTGGGGCATAACAAGATTATTAATATCAAGTTTTAATATCGGCTATGCTCTACTGAATCTTGTGCACATAGAAAAGTGAGGAGAAAATGGACTTGAGATACCTTTTTGACGTTGTTGCTTTGAACTCATTAAGTCCTAAAAATAAATATTTAAAAACCATTATCTTCAACAATTAATATTTTGTTTCTGCTTCTTAAAATCTGACTCAATGGAGCCACAAGAAGGACCACTTTTATTCTATAAGAGACAAGTTAAGTTTTGATTTGCTGCTGTGGACACAGTATACGACTTCCAATGAGAAAAAAATACATGGTAGTCTATACTGGTTAACATTCTTCTTTTAAGAGCTGATAAGTTTGCCTTATATGATGCTATAACTTCAATTTACTTATAGAATAGTAACAAAGAACTTATAGACAGAAAAGTGAACAAAAATTGTATACACTGCAACACTGTAAAATATGCTGTCTAACAAGAAAGTAGGAATGATGGCTACTTTCTGGATAAAGAGAAAACTGAGTAAAATATGTGCAGCCTTGAACATCTAACATTATTATAAATGTCAATATTCATGGCCTGTTTTGAAGCCAGTGGTTTCAAAAAGTCGGTTCTCACAAAAAGTTTGAAACAGACAACCATTTAAAATATCTTAAGAATGTAAATCATTGTAAATTTCAGTGTTTCTTTCCTTCTAAATTGTTGCTTCATATGATAGTGAAGGCAACAGGTTTATCAACAGGCATTCATGAGTACAGTATATCTTATCCATTCAAAGTATTCATACAGTCTTCCACTATCCTTTTATGAGCATTCCTACCGTCTACCCACAGCTATCAATTATAGGGTTGGAAGGCACTTTAACAAACAGATAACTGATTCAAAAAAAAAGAGAGAGAGAAAATGTATCTGTCAGTAAGACAGATTTCTGATAGTGGATGCTGGTTGTTAAGAATTATAGGATTTTCTCACCTTTCTGTCCCACAATTTTTGTAACACAGTCCGTGCTTTTCATCACCCTATGGACATATTAATCTTTCATTTCAATGCATTTTCTCAGTTCAGCTGCAGTTTTTTCCAGTTGTTGAATGTTCCATTGCCATTGTCTTCTATTTGACTGAAGCTTGTTTACTTGACAGTGCAAACGCTTAAGAATTGCACCGTATCTCTTATGTTGTACCTATTAAAAGAAGAGTACAGGTCAACAGGGCTTGAGAAGGAAAAACAGTAAACAGCCATAAAGGATATTTTGACTACTCTAAAGAGGAAAACACTTGATTAAAAATTACTACTGTAAATAATAATGATAATAAAAATAAACAATAATTATAACTATTTACTCATCACTTATTACATGTTAGATACTGTGATGAGAGATGTGAGAGCTTTTTACATATAATTAAATTCTGATAACACCTTATGATGTAAATATCATTATCCCCATTATTGTGTAAACTGAAGATCAAAGAGTTTAAGTAATGCGATCAAGGTTTCACAGCTAGCACGTGATGGTGTTTGGGATTTGAACCCAAGGGAAGCGTATGTGATGAAGGGCCTTCTAGTCATCAAAACAGTTTCCAGTTAAGAGAAAAGGTTTCACTTCCTGTATCCAGTGGTTCACTGAAACATAGACCCATTGTTATAAAAGATTTAGGGATCACGTAGGCTATTTCCCTGCCATTAAGTAGATCAGTGTTTATGCTTAGCTAGAGCGGAAGGCAATGAAACACACTGGAAAGTGCAAGGATTTGGTGTCAGGCCACAAGGAAAGTAAAAAGGTCAAAATTCTTGACGTTAGTGTTGGCTACACAAGGAACACCCAATTTTGTTTTTAAAACAACTTTAATGAGATATAGTTCACATAGCATACAATCCATTCTTTAAAGTGTGTAATTCAATGGTTTTAGTATATTAAGAGTTGTGCAACCATCACCACAATCAACTTTAGAAAATTTTCATTACCCCTGAAGGGAATCTAGTGCCTGTAAGCTGTGATTCCCTATTCCCCCATGCGCACCCTTAGCACTAGGCAATCACTAATCTACCTTCTCTTTATATATATTTGCCTATTCTGGACATTCCATGTAAATTACATTATACAAGGTGTGTGTTTGGGGGACTGGCTTTGTTCACTTAGCCTAGTGTTTTTATGGGTTGACAATGATTTAGCACGCATCAGCACTTCATTTCTTTTTATTGCTAAATAATATTTCATAGTATGAAACAGTACATTTTATTTATCCAATTCATCAGTTGATGGACATTTGGGTTGTTCTCACTTTTTAGGTGGATGTATGTTTTCACATCTGTGGGGTAAATACCTGGGTCACATGATAACTCTGTGTTTAAACATTTGAGGAACTGCCAGATTTTTTCCAAAGTGACTGCAACATTTTACATTTCCATGAACAATGTGTGAGTGTTCCAATTTCCTCATATCCTCAAAAATACTTGTTATTGTCTGTCTTTTTGGTTATAGCCATTCTATTGGGTGTGAGGTGATATCTCATTGTGGTTAAACACCTACTTTTAAAAGAATTGGGAAAGTTACCTATTCATTTTTTAAAGGTCTCCTTTTAAAATTTACTTCTATTTATTTTTTTGTGGTATAATACACATAAAATTTACCATCTTAACTATTTTTAAATGTACTGTTACAGTTCAGTACTTACTAAGTACATTCATATCTTCACACAACGAGTACCAACCATTCACCTCCACAACTCTTTTCATCTTTCAAAACTGAAACTCTGTAAACCAGTAAACAGTAAGTCCCTTTCTTCACTGCCTCCAGCCCCTGGCAACCACCATTCTAAATTCTGTCTTTATGAATTTAACTGTGTTAGGTACTTCATATAAGTAGAATCATACAGTATTTGTCTTCTTGTGACTGGCTTATCTGACTTAGTGCAATGCCCTCAAGAGTTCATCCATGTTGCAGCATGTGTCAGTTTCTTTCCTTTATAAGGCTGAATAATGTTTCATTGTATATATACACCAGATTTTGCTTATCCATTCTTCTATCAGTGGACACTTGGGTTGTTCCTATTTTGGGCTGTTGTGACTAATGCGGCTATAAATATGGGTACACAAATATCTCTTTGAGACTACTTTCAATTCTTTTGGGTATATACCCAGAAGTAGAATTGCTGGATCATACAGTAATTCTATTTTTAAGTTTTTTCAGGAACTGCCATACTGGCTTTCTACTCTGGTTGCACTAGTTTACATTCCCACCAGCATGTGGGAGGGTTCCAATTTTTCCCATACTGAAAGTACTTGTTATTATCTGCCTTTTTGATCACAAACATAGTCATCTTAGTAGGTATGAAGCAGTATTTCCAGTGAGTATGACAGCAGCATTGCAGTAAAACATCCACTTTTAAATGAACCGATAGAATCATACAATAATAGGTCTGGGAAAGTTACCTCTTCATTCTCGTATCTATTTAAGAGAGAGTTCTAGCAAGTTAGGAAGGTGGTTCTAGGTCAATTCAAAGAAGAATCAATTTGTCAAAACACCAATTCACCAAATTTATCAAAATAACCAATTTGCCACTCCATTTTTTTGTACTTTACTCTATCCTTATCTAACATGCTATATACAATATAAACTGTATATGTGTATATATATATACAGTTTATATCTGTCTCTCTAACCAGAAAGCAAGTTCCATGAAGACAGGGATTTTTAGCCATTTATTTTGTTCATCACTCTATTGTGAGAGCCTAAAAGAGCAACTGGCATATAGTAAAATCTCAGTAAGTGTGCTGAATTAGAATAAAAGATAAAATAAGAGTTTCTGTAAATCAAGTGACTGCTACACTATTGCTAAATTCTGTATTGTTTAGAGTTTCTCCATATATGTAAGAAGCACTCCACAAAGTGTCATTCTTTTACCAGGAAGAAAGTGCTGGACTTAAAAGAACAGGGAGATCATTTGCTGCCATTTCAACATGTCATGTAACTTTTCTTCACTTTAGATGTTTAATCTAAAAAGTATAGTTGTTTTGGTATGTGAGATTCTTTGCCTTTGCATATAAATTTTAGAACATCTTGTCTATCTCTACAAAAAAAATACATATTAGAATTTTTAATGGGATCTCTAAGGGTTAAATCAAGAGATAATTTGGGGGAAAGTTGTCACTTAAAAATACTGAGTTTTGTAGACCATGAACATAAGTATATCACTCCATTTATGTAGTATTTAGCAAATATTTTATGCTCTTTAGTGTTAATGAAAAGAGTTTTGTTTAATCCATTTCACTTTCCAGCTGTTTCTTGCTACTACATAGAAGTTACATAGAAATACAATTGATTTTTGTATTTTGACCTTTTATCCTGTGAACTTGCTAAATTCATTTACTGGTTTACTAGCCATTTTGTAGAATCCTTAGGATTTTCTACGTGAGCAATCATGCTGTCTGTGAATAAACACAGGTTTACTTCTTCACAATCTTTTTGCCTTATATGTTTTTCTTGCATTATAGCACTGATTAGGACCTCCAACATAATGCTGCCTAGAGGAGGTGTGGTCAGACATCTCTGCCATTTTAGAGGGAAAGCAGTCAACATTTCACCGGTAAAAATGATGTTGCTAGCCGTAAGTTTTTTTATAGATGCCCTTTATCAGGCTGAGAAAGTCTCCTTCTATTCTGAATTTGCTGAGAGCTATTATGAATGGGGGTTGAGTTTTGTCCCCTGTTTCAGTAACTATTAAGTTGATTTTATCTTTTTATCGCCTTAGTTTTGTTAATGTGGTAAAGTACATTGTTTCATTAAAGTTGAACCAACTGTGCATTTCTGAGATAAACTTCACTTGGTCATGAGGTATTAACCTTTTTATATATAGTAAAGTAAATTTGAAAATATTTTGCACCTGTGCTCATGAGGGACATTGGTCTGTAATTACTTTTCTAATAATCCTGCTTATTTTTTTTCTGGTAAAGTTATGCTGGCCTCCTAAAGCAAGTTAGGAAGAGTTCCCGTCTTCATTTTCTGAGTTTGTATAGGCCGGGTATTATTTCTTCCTTAAATGTATGATGGAATTCACCAGTGAAGCCTCGTCAGTCTGCAGCTTTCCTCATAGGGAGGGTTTTACTTATTAATTCAATTTCATTGATTCTTATTTCATGTCATTTATATAGCTTAATTTGACATGGATTATAGGCCCAAATATAAAAGCAATTTCTTCTTGTGTTATTGTATGTGTGTTTTTCAACGAATTTGTCCATTTCATCAACTTATCAAATTTACTGACATAAAGTTGTTCATAAAAGGCCTTTAATATCCTTTTAAGTCTATAGGCCCTAAAGTAGTGACCCCACTATCCTCTCTTTTTTATATCAGTATTGCTATGGTTTATCAATTTTATTAGTCTTTCCAACTTTTGGCTCTGTTGATTTTCTCTATTTTTCCATTTTCTATTTCATTGATTTCTAATACGTATGATTTCATTTCTTCCAATTTGCTATTGGCTGAATTTATTCTTATTTTTCTAGTCCCTTATGGTGGAAGCTTAGATAATTGCTTTTAAACCTTTTTTCCTTTTCTAATACAGGCATTTAAAGCTGTAAAAATTCCTCTAGATGTTGCTTTAGCTACCCTCTGCAATTTGTTACATGTTGTGTTTTCATTATCATTCAGTTTCAAATATTTTCCAATAATTCTTACGATTTCTTCTTTGAATCATGGGTTATTTATAACCATAATGCCCAGCTTCAAAATGTTTATGTATTTTCTAGTTTTCTTATTTTTATTGATTTCTTTTTTTTAATTGAAATACAGTTGACTTACAATGTTGTGGTAGTTTCTGGTGTATAGCATGGTGATTCAGTCACACATATATATACATATTCTTTTTCATTATAAGTTATTATAAGATAATGAATATAGTTTCCTGTGCTATACTGTAGGACCTTGTTTATCTAGTTTATATATAGTAGTGTGTATCTGATAGTCCCAAACTACTAATTTATGCCTCCCCCCACCCTTTTCCCCTTTGGTAACCATTAATTTATTTTCTATGTCTGTAACTCTCTTTCTTTTTTTGTAAATAAGTTCATCTGTCTCATTATTTACATTCCACATATAAGTGATATCATGTGATATTTGTCTTTCTCTGACTTACTTCACTTAGTATGATAATCTCTAGGTCCATTCATGTTGCTGCAAATGGC